TTGACGAAGATGTGTATTCCTCCTTAATGTAGAGTGCCACACCCCCTTAATGTAGAGTTGCCAGTATTTTAAAATACTGAAAAAAATATTTTGCTGGCTTCTACACTCTGCCTCTTTTACAGAGCAGATTTAGGGATGGATATGAGTAGTCTTTATTTTGCTTTCTGTGTACGTTTAATCAGCAAAATTACTTCTTAGTACCAGGAGCTGTTCTCCCAGTGCTATAGAAGGTTTATCTGCTAGCATAACCAAAAACAAACTTCTGAACCCATTTTTTGACTCTGCTTTTTGAAGAAATATGGAACCTTCTTTCCTGGACTATACTAATAAATACAGTTGTCTTCAGCTCAGCTGTGGGAAACTTTTTGCTAGTGTGCACAGTGTAGTAGAAGACAGCAAAAAATCTTGCAGCTCTCGGAGTCCATCACTTGTTGACAGGTGCTGTGTAGTTGTGCTCATGTTATAATTTGAGTTGGTGTTCTTGATTTTAGGGGAGACACAAAAACAAGGAAGCAGTGTTTTGGTTTTCGTAACTTTTTCTTGCCAGTAGCTATGTCTAGGATATTTCTGTCTGTGGCACTTATGGCCCCTTGTATACCTGTAGAATGAACACTTCAGAATTCAGAAGCTAGTTTGTCTAAATAATTTGTGTTCTCCTGCTCTAGAGACTTTCAGTTTTGGACTGTGTGAAACCGTTGGGTATGGGCTTTGAAGCCTGTTGGAATCAATGGTTAAAATACCCGTTTCCTATAAGAACTGATGAAAGGCCCACTGACCTTACTACATGTTTTTAGGTCTGTGGAGCATATTTATCAACAGACTGGAGTGAGCGCAGGCGAGGAGGAAATAAGCTGAGTTTTTTCGGGACAGGAGAGTGCTTTGTGTTCAGGGTAAGTAATTACTGCTACTCAGTATTGAATGATAGTGACCAAACTTTAACAGCTATTTACTAGCACTATTTTGCACCTGGACTGGAATTGGTGGGTGAACAAGCTTCTGATCCAGTGCATGCACTTGTGGCCTTTGTCATTGAGGCCCATTTTGAAAGGCTGTGGGAGATTTCTTTTCAAGTTTGGGCTGAGACCCTGCCTCCCAAGTGCAAAATATTTTCTCGGGAGGCTAGGTGTAGGCATGTCATAAAAATCCGTGCCTCTTACTCTTTGTAGGTCATACCTTTTATTGAACTAATTGTATAGTAAGGAACCTGTACCTCCCAGCTTATATGGGTTGGTCCAATAAAAGATACCACTTGTAAATCCTTGCTTTGCATTTGTTATGGACCATCACAAATACATTGTCACCCCAATACTAACGCACAAATAGTAACATAATTCAAGAACCATCTCATACAGCCTAGTTTCCCTATTCAACCCTCTACAAAGCAAAATCCTATCTGGCACCATTCCTGTCAGTTACACTCAAGGATATTGTCCAACTCCCTTGCCATGACATGCTATTGGGGGTACTTGACAGGCTCAAAGACTGGTTTGTGTTCAGAGCTTTTAGAGCAGTGGACTTCCACCAAGTAACTCTTTTCTCTTCTCTTGCACAGTTGCAGCCAGAAGTGGAACGCTATGAGTGGGTGATAATCAAGCACCCAGAGCTGGCAATGGCTGGTTCTGAACGAGGGAGTCATTCCACACCGGCTTCCAATGCCACATCCTTCAGTTCTGTCCCCTCAGACCCATCAGATCGCCTTTCCCCCTTCCTAGCTGCTCGGCACTTCAACTTGCCTTCCAAAACAGCTTCTATGTTTATGGCTGGCAGTACCGAGTGTATCATCATAGGTAAGTCTCTATGGGATTTGTACAGACATTCTGACCTCTCCTTAATGTTCACAGTAGATGGTGGTTCAAGCTGTTTCTTGCTTTATTGTCACTCAGTATTACTGTAGCTATAATGAGAAAAGTGGCTGAAAAATCCTGGTCTTCCGAATTTCCATCCAAAAATTGCATTTTTGAACTGAACATTTTAGCAATGATTCATTGTTGTGAATTTAGCAAGGTTTTTGAGTGTACTTTGGCTTTCCTCCTGCCTTGTATCTGATTACTAATTTCCTGTTCTAGGATTATTAGTAATGAGGTGTTGGATCATGAGAGAAATTAGAATATAGCAACACACTTGCTGCTGCAGTGTTGCATCTGCAGTGTTACTAAGGATGATCGTAGCCCATAATAAAAGTAGTCATCTACCTAAACTCCAGTAAAATGTGTAGAAGGGACCTGCTAAGATAGCTTCTCATCCAGTGGCTCCCAGATTAAGATGCCAGCTTGTGATACCTAGTGTCTACTAATTCCTGTTCAGTAATGAACGTGCCAGCCCTGTGTGGGCTGGTCTTCTCCAGCACACAACCAGCTCACAATGCAAGCTCAGTTGGAGGCTAGAATGTGTACATACTTAAACTTAGAGATAATTGATGCTTACATCTTGGTCATCACAGAACTCTATTGTTAGGTGTAACAGTGACAGAGGAACAAGTCCTGTGTCTTCACGTGGGTACATAGGAATTCCTATCTCATTCAGTCACCAGCATGGAACAAGACTTGTCACTGCACTTAATTCCTCAAGTGATATATATATTGTCTAACATCCTTTCATGTACTGTTGCTCTCCAGACAGCATCTTTTCATTTAGTTTATGCCCTAAAAGTCTCTTACCTTTCTTCTCCTTCCCAACACCTCTCTTGATGAAGTTAAGTTTACTTTCAGGTCACTGAATTTCCTGTCCATCTAGGTTCTGTGGGCTATTCCAGCATTCAGATTAGCTGATACTGATTTAGGACTAATCTCATCAATGTGCAGTTTACTTTAGACTTTGTTTTACAACCATCTAGAAGATCATACTAGTGCCATTGCTATCATTTGTAGGACTCTACCCTCTCCCCCCCACCCTCCCACCTCCTTTCCCTCAACTCCTTTATTGCCCAGTATGTTCCCTGGGGGCTTTTTCTATCCCATATTCTTTCTCTTGTTATTGAAGTTGGTAGCTGCCTGGACCCTTCTTTAAAAACATCACAAAGGCAATCAAATGTTAAGACAAATCTTGGTTTTCTCAGCTCAGC